CGTCCAATTGCAAAAGAAATGAACGAACTTGAGAGGAGAGAGAGGTAAAGAAGACGAAGAAAGAAAGAAGAAGAAGAAGATGCAAACCGGCAAACGACCAATGACAATTCCCCCTTCTTCGCCAACCAACTCCTTATCTCCTCCCCTCTTATTCAAACAATAATAATAACGATGAATGGCTAAACCAGAATCAATGTCTGAATCCCTCTTCTACTGCTTGACACAACAAGAGGTCCACCATAGCCATGACCTTCCTCCTCTCACACTTAATTCAGGCCGAGGCTAGGGCGGAATACTAAGGACCTTGCCCTGACGCGCAGCTATGTCCTCCTCTGCTCAGGCCGCCATGCCTGACTCTGCCTCGAAGGTCCTTGATGTAGCGTTACCCCAACTGGGGCCTTCCACATGCAGTGCCTACCAAGGTGATGAAGATAGCGTCCACCACAGTCAGGCAAGTACCTCCGGCGCTTCCCTCTCTATCACCCTCCTTTCTCCTCCTCCTACCCGAGCCCGTCCACCATAGCCAAGGTGGACGGCTGGGCATTCCTCTTCCCCACAGCGCTGCACACTACCGCTCCTCCAGGCGTTCCAGCAGCGTGACGCCCAAACTTGCCCGGAGCAAATGAGGAGCACTTCGTTCCTCCTGGAAATATAGCAGCCAACCTGCCTCTTGGGCGGATACTTCCAGGCTGCGCAGCCTCCAAGCAACCGGTACCTCCTCCCTTTGAGGGGAAACATCATTGCAGGCTCTGGTATCATCCGCACAGGCACTAGACTGGACTACTTGGACTGGTACCCGTCTAGACCTAGCCTACCGCTACTAGGCCTCTAAAAATACTTTTGTCTTCTTCTGCTTGGCCTGCCGCTACTCAAATACTTACGGGCCTACAATACCGCTACTTGAGTGCACCCTAAGTTACCCCTTCGGCCACTTGAGTGTTTTCCCCCATTGCAACCCCAAAGTCACAGCCGCAGGTAAGAACCGACCCTACAGGCCTCCCAAACAAACAAGTGCCCTGGCGGGCCACACACCCACTCAGGCAGACAAGCACTCAGACAGGCACGCAGACCAACTAACATGCACACAAACAGACTTAGAAAACTCTGCAGAACGCAGGAATCTCAGCAAGGCATTCATACCAGCGGCAAAACTCAGCAATCAGCTGTTTTCGGAGTCCATGTTTTGGCAGGTCCTTACTATATATATATATACGTCACAAATAGAACTGCCCGGCAAACCGTAGGCAGAGAGAGAGAAGAGGACAACAAACGAGGGGCTGTGACAAACTGTTTCGTCGGAGTTTCACCGACTCATCAGGAGGCTGAACCCTCAGTTTGTGACGATAATATATACGTCACAAATAGAACTGCCCGGCAAACCGTAGGCAGAGAGAGAGAAGAGGACAACAAACGAGGGGCTGTGACAAACTGTTTCGTCGGAGTTTCTATATATATAATCGGTGAGGGGATTCCGCAGACTGTTGAGGGTTCAGCCTCCTGATGAGTCGGTGAAACTCCGACGAAACAGTTTGTCACAGCCCCTCGTTTGTTGTCCTCTTCTCCCTCTCTGCCTACGGTTTACCGGGCAGTTCTATTTGACGATATATATATATACAATTATACATATATATATAGTCAAAAAGAGCTGCCCGGTAAACCGTAGGCAGAGAGGGAAGGAGAAGAGGACAACAAACGAGGGGCTGTGACAAACTGTGTCGTCGAAGTTTCACCAACTCGTCACGAGGCTGAACCTTATATATTGTCCCATATATATAATATTATATATTTTATATATATATATATCGTCACAAACAGAACTGCCCGGTAAACCGTAGGCAGAGAGAGAGAAGAGGACAACAAACGAGGGGCTGTGACAAACTGATTCGTCGGAGTTTCATACATATATATATATATATTGTCAAACAGAGCTGCCAGGTAATCCATAGGCAGAGAGAGAGAAGAGGACAACAAACGAGGGGCTGTGACAACCTGTTTCGGCAGAGTTTATATATATACATCGTCAATACATCGTCAATATATATACACCACATAGTACGAAGTATGTCAACCTGTGAATGGAGTGCTTGCCTGTTCATGGTCAGTGTATAAGGGCATACACTCACAGGAGGACTACCACCGCCCCATCTCCTGGACATGTCGCCAGGCAGATGCATTGAAGAGAGTCCTAGACTGAGGATGACCGCACGTGTACTTCAAAGCCGACCTTATGCAGTTTCTCTCTCCATATTTTCAATGTGACACTCCTCAATGCATCTGCCGCAGGGCATGTCCAGATGCATGTGATGCTCTCCACATGCAATGTGCCCACAAAAAGATCACTGAAACCTGTGCGACATGTCCTGGCACTCTCCACAGGGCCCACAGATTTCCAATGGCACTCTGCTCTTCCATTGACCAAGCGGTGTCCCACTCAAGTCTGTCTGGGCCCGTGGCGATCCTGTGGTACTCTCTCCTCAGTTAACCACGGGTTGCCCGGCAGGTATCAGTCTAGGCCCTGTGGTGGTCATGTTGTACTCTCCTCTTCAGTTAACCATGGGTTGTCCCGCAGCCGCTGGCGTCCGTCTGGGACGATGGCAGTCCTCTAGCACTCCCTCCTCAGTCGACTGGGGCCGTGCTGGTCCTGTGGTACTCTCCTCTTCAGTTAACCATGGGTTGTCCCACTGGTGTCTGTATGGGCCCATGGTGGTAGTGTGGTGCTCCCCTCCTCAGTTGATCGGGGCCGGCCCGGTCCTATTGTACTCTGCTCTTCGGGTTAGCATGGGTTGTCCCGCTGGTGTCTGTATGGGCCCATGGTGGCCGTGTGGTACCCTCCTCTTCAGTTAACCATGGGTTGTCGCACTGGTGTCTGTACCGGCCCATGGCGGTACTCTCCTCCTCAGTTGAACTGGGGCTGTGGCGATCCTGTGGAACTCTCCTCTTCAGTTCACAATGGTTGTCTCCCCCGTGCTACCGTAGTGTCTGTCTGGGCCCGTGGTGGTGGTCCTGTGGTACTCTCCATTCCCTTGGTCCTGTGCTAATCTCCATCCCTAGTTAACCGTGGCTTGTCCCACTAGCATCTGTGTTGGCCGATGACGGTCCTGTGGCACTCTCCTCTTCAGTTAACCATGGGTTCTCCCACTGTGTACACCTCGGCCCACGCCGGGGTTTTGGTACTCTCTCCTCTTCCTCACAACCATGGGTCGTCCCACTGTGTCCGCCTGTGCCCATGCTGCTCCTTTGGTACTCTCTCCTCGTCCTCACATCGCCCTTTCGAATGCCCACTTCTGAACGAGCTTGGACTCCTTGGAGCAACCACGTCAAGTTCCCGTCAACTGATGCTCTGTTTGGAACAATTGTTAATTCAGTTTGGCCAATTGTTGGGGACCAACTGTTTTTTTTTTTGTTTTTTTTTTTTTTTGTTTTTTTTTTTTTTAAACGAGCAACTGTTTATTCTGTCTCGCACTGTTATCTATATTCTCTTTGGAACAGTTGTTGGTTCCATTTGGCACAGTTGTTGAACTTGGCACACTTGTTGGTTCCATTTGGCACACTTGTTGGTTCCGTTTGGGACAGTTATTGGTTCCGTTTGGCACAGTTGTTGGTCCTGTTTGGCACAAATACATATTCCGTAAGAACAACGTCAAAAGTTCGTCCTGCTGTGTTTTTTGTCATTAATTACGCCAAAGGATAAAAGGCATAATAATAGAACAACGTCAAAGTTCGTCCTGCTGTGTTTTGTCATTAATTACGCCAAAGGATAAAAGGCATAATAATAGAAATGACCACCGCATGCAGAGCATATAGTCATAATATGATAATCTGACTGTGATGACAACGAGTCCCGGATGTATCTAACCAGAACTACGTCTAGAAATTAGTCAGACAGGTGAACCCAGAGGGGCACGCGCAGAGGAAGGGAGGGAGGCGGAAAGGACAGCACAGCAATAGGGCCACAACCCCCTTCCTCCTCCGTGGCCTGAAAGTGAAAGACCATCCAGAAAGAAAAAAAACACAAAAAAAACACAAAACAAACACACACACACAAAAAAAAAA